AACTGAGGCTGCTGCTTCTGTGCTGGAACACAAACAGCACATGGATCAGAGCTGGTGCTAAAGGTGTTTTAGCACCGCATGTGCTGTCCCCAGACTGGTGCAATGGACTGGGAGCGGTGAGCAGCAGCAGAGAGCGCTTCATTATCTTGTATCCACCTCTGATGACCACAGGATTGGAAAACGGCAGGAGGTGAGAATGTTTAAGCCTATAAATTGGCTTCCTAATAGGTGACAGAAAGAGGCATCAGGTGGCTTTGATCAGAGGATGGATCCTGCATGGCTTCTGGTCTTAACAGCAGCAGGCATTGCAGTGTTTCTGGCTTCAGACTGCTTTCAGCTGTGCTTGCCCTAGCTGTGCCATCACTTCAGAGGTTGTGCTGGGAAAGGAATGATCGGTTTTGCACATGCCTGTGTCAGTGCTATGGAGAAGTCATCATATGTTTGTCTTTAAATGCAGCAGCTCTGGAACGATGAGACAGGCTAACGCATTCGCTGGCAAGAGTGGCTGTGAAAGCTCCAGTGATCTTTATTGATATTTCCAAATTAAAGCTCTCAGCACTGACTCCCTCCCTGTGTAGCACTGGCAGGCTTTGCCTTCAAGGCAGCAGTTGGGCTGTGCTCTGCTCTGCCACACCTCACTCAGGTGCTGTTGGGCAGGGCTGATGCTCCAGCCCCTTTCCAGCATCCTGCTCCAATCGGGAGAGAGCAACCATGCTGCTCCAATGTAGGGTTTCTCCAGTCACTGTGGCCTTTCTATGCCAGAAGAGGAGAATCTAAAACTGGCACTGTGGTGTTTCATCAAGCGACTTGCAAGTAAGTGCAAGTTTTCCTGCATAATAGAAAATTCAACATTCAACCATTCAACAAAATTTCAATTGAAATTTGGAAGAACATCAATGAAATAGAGAACTACCCAAAGCTGGTGTGTTTGAATAACTGCTACGCTCATTCTTAATTATAAAATGGAAAAACAAACCTATTTTACTGCTATTTTTGGGCTGTGGTTCTACTGAAATCAAAGCTTTCTCTTCCAATCTACATCTCTGACCTCTTGGGAAGCACTGTTGTATATTCATTTGGCACCAATTGACAGACCTCTTAGGCAGAGATACTCAAACAATAGCACGCATGTCTAAAAAGGATTTTGAAAATTAATTTTTGATATGTGGCCTCTGCTCTGATTTCTCTGTGCTAGTCTAAACCCACGGGTATAAATAACTCCACTGACCTGAATGGATATTTTTGGGTACAGCAACAAAAAAGAATCGTTGCCTGCTACTGGAGGTAAATATTTATCTAGGTATGATTTAATGTCTGGAGATTTCTTTTCTTTCCTTAGAATTTGCACTAATAACTGGTTTTTGAAACATTTCTTCAAACTGAATTTAGGGACTAGTGCATTTAGATTGTTTCAGATTTCTGCTCCTCTGCATCTGAGCCTGCCTCGATGATCCCGTATCTGCTGGCTGCTGTCATCTCCACAGCTGGTCAAATGAGAGGTGACATTTCTGTGCAAGCCTAATGTGGTGGTTTAACCCCACTAAGCACCACCCCACTTGCTCTCTCTCTCCCCCCCTCCCCCCAATGGGATGGGGGAGAGAATCGGAAGGGTAAAAATGAGAAAACTCGTGGCTTGAGATAAAGACAGTTTTTAATAGGTAAAGCAAAAATCATGCGCACAAGCAAAGCAGAACAAGGAACTCATTCACTACTTCCCATCAGCAGGCAGGTGTTCAGCCATCCCCAGGAAAGCAGAGCTCCATCATGCCTAACGGTTACTTGGGAAGACAAACGCCATCACTCTGAATGTCCCCCCCTTCCTTCTTCTTCCCCAGCTTTATATGTTGATCATGACGTCACATGGTATGGAATACCCCTGTGGTCAGTTGGGGTCAGCTGTTCTGGCTGTGTCCCCTCCCAGCTTCTTGTGCACCCCCAGCCTACTCGCTGGTGGGGTGGTACTTCCCATCAGCAGGCAGGTGTTCAGCCATCCCCAGGAAAGCAGGGCTCCATCACACCTAACGGTTACTTGGGAAGACAAACGCCATCACTCTGAACGTCCTCCCGTTCCTTCTTCTTCCCCCAGCTTTATATGTTGAGCATGATGTCACATGGTATGGAATACCCCTGTGGTCAGTTTGGGTCAGCTGTCCCAGCTGTGTCCCCTCCCAGCTTCTTGTGCACCCCCAGCCTACTCGCTGGTGGGGTGGGGTGAGAAGCAGAAAAGGCCTTGACTCTGTGTAAGCACTGCTCAGCAGTAACGAAAACATCCCTGCGTTATCAACACTGCTTTCAGCACAAATCCAAAACATAGCCCCATACTAGCTACTATGAAGATAATTAATTCTATCACAGCCAAATCCAGCCCACCTAAGCAAGTACAAAAGTCTACAGCAACCTCTGGGTCCCTCCATTAAAAAAAAAAGACCCTGAAAACTGCTGAAGGCAGCTGGATGAGGTTGCTAAATCATCACGCTGGACATGCACCAAGAGAGCCTGTCCTTGGGCTGCATGGAGCCAAACACAGCTGATTTGCAGGGAAACAGGCAGAATCTTTTCGCTCTAACTGAATATCGACAGCAAAGCCAAGCTAGGCTTTTATACCGTGCGGACTGTGCTGGAAGCCAGCTCAGTGCAGCTTAAAATGGGTCTTTTACATGGGCTTCTCCCTGGTGAGAGTCTAGACTTGAGCTCCTTGGTCTTTTCTGTCCCATAAGGTTACAGGGCTTCCTGGCAATAATTAAGTCATTGCAATAGCCTAGTTTCCTAAAAGTACAGATCTACAGGCTGAAAAATAATTAATGCATAAGCAGAACATACACATTAGAGACTAGAAAAAGACACTTTAGTTTGCGCTTAACACCGGTCTTACACTTCAAGGTTTCATTGCTTTTTCTTCCTTAGGTATCTATATGTGTCTGCAGCTACCCAATTGCTATTAATGTCTGTATTCAACTGAAGTAGGAAAATGAAAGCCGCAGTAAATTGTACAATATGTTTACATTATAACAAGGTTTATAGAGGCATCATAATTCATCATGTATTCCAACAGAAGCATGGATCTCTTCCAGTTTAATTTTCTGAAGTTTGAGTTTGCAGCTGGGTCACTCCTGGTGTAATCCGGGAGATGCATCTTCTAAGGCTGTGGGTTGGAAGAGCAGCATCCCAGCTGTCATTGCCACCCATCAGTTACCACGCTGGGGGCTGAGGGCAAAGCAGCTGAATCACTTTCTGTGGGTGCAGCAGCATAGCTAGCTTCATAAATTTTGTTGCAAGGAGCAATAATCAATACTTCATGGTTAATGACGCAAAACTGAAATTAGTATAGATTTTATGTCTCCTTCTCTTCCCAATTATGCAAACATTGCTATGCCCCTTCTGTAGTTGCCTTATATTACAGCTTTTATAAAGACTGTCCGGTGATGTTTAATTGAAAGACTGAATAGTCAAAAATGTCACAACTGAGTTTGGTTTTTACTTTTTTTTTGTTCGGTCTTCACCCTGCGGTTAATAGAAAATGATGTCAAACACAAGAAATTATTTATATATGTTATGTAGGTTTTGTCACCCAGAGCTATATATAAAGTCAACTGCAAATTGCTTTTCCATTCTAAATTACCGTACATAGCTCTGGGATACACTGAAAAAAATGACCACCAGCATAATATGGGAGAAGAAAAGGTTATCTTCTGAACTGAACTGTGCTTCGAAGAAAACAAATTTGAAAGTTGCTTGTTTTTAATATGCCAGAAGAGGATGTTCCTCAGAACAGGTAAAAAAAAAAAAAAAAAAGGAAGGCAAAAATAGAAAGAAGTTTCACAACTGGATTATTTCCAATGGCTGATGAGTGGCAGGCAGCAGCCAGGCATCCCGAATCACGTGCAGTGCTTTATCAGCTGCAGCATGTCCACAAAGTGGTGCTACAATTAGAGACCCAGAGGGGGAAAGACTGGGGAAACATCTAACTTGTCATCTTGACAAATCTAGTTTATGCATAAAACGTATTTTGCAGTACTAGTGCTTCCAAGGCTGGGAAGAAATGAAAGCTGTATTAGAAGTAAATCAGCTACCAGCTATGATCTTGTTTCATGTCAAACAGGGTAGAATCTTGTACAGGATTAAAAAGCGCCACATAAAATTTCTCTGTTTCACAAAATTGGCCTTATTTGGGAAAGCAGAAGGTAGAGCTGGCTGATCTGTTGTGCTCCTGAAGATTGCAACAGTCTTCTTGGTAAGACTTATCAATAAATTGATATTATAATAAATAGACTTATCAAAAAATTGATAAGACTTATCAATAAATCAAGTCTTTGATTCATCCCCAGGTCAAATAAGATATACAAGATGAAAATATCCTTGTTTTGCCTTTTTAATGTTTTTAGCCTTCCTGGGAATCCTGTATCTGTATGCAAGGTAGGTGTGAAGTAAATTACTCTCCTTCCTTACTCTGAGTAGCTTTTGCTTTTACATTTGATTCCCAACTTAATGAGCTAAAAGAAGTCATGAGTTAACATCTTTGTGTTTTGCATAGACTTCTCATTTTCCACTGTTGCTTAATAATCAAACAGTTGATGTATAAACACAAACCTGAAGGCACATCCCTGCATCTCGGGATGGTGATGCTCTTCGCATTGCATCACAGGGATGCAGCCAGGGGGGTTCAGTGTTTGATTGTCAGCCCAGCTTTTAAGGAGACTGGGCATGTGTCCTCTGCGTGTGCGTGTCCCAATGATGCCAGGGCACTCTGTGGGATTCTGTCCTGCGAGGGAACGGAAAGTTCAGCCCAGGAATTGCATCACCTGCAGCACACGCTTCATTGTGACCAGGTTCTCCTCCACCCCTCAACTCCCACCCCTCCAGAACAATAAAACTCTGTCAGACAGATACAATTTAGCTTTCTAAGCCCTATCTCTGTGCTGAACATTATGGGTAGATTTTTCCTGGGACATTAGCATGGATGCAGGGAACCCCAGCCATGCACCTGCAGTTAGATTTGTGACATGTCTGCTATTGAAACAGGATCTGATGCAAATACCCTGGTAAAGGCATTGGGCTGTAAATCTCAGCCAGTGACTCTTAATTATGAGACTGAATACTGTTTGATTGCAGAACAAAGAGAAGTGCTGATGCTCACTTGCCTCTTACCAAGACCATCTCCTCTGAAATCAAAGCAGCCACACACCTAACACATGAAAGAATACTTTCCTCTTTTGCTCTGCCTATTATTTTTGTAGGTCTGATATTTTCTTTCAAACTTATGTGCTGGACCTATTGATAAATATATTGGTTCCTTTATAGCTATTTTGGCTATCTAAATTTGAAAGCAACCCTGTAGACATTACCCTAGGGACCATTTTGCTTAGTGGTTGGCTCACAACGTCTTGAGGTTGAGGGGGAATCTCCAATGTCAACCAAGGGCTTCCCATAAGCATATTGAAATGTTTTTTCTCTCCTTGTAGGAAGAACTCAAAAGGCTCCAGCACACTTTGGAACAGGTCAATGATGGCAAAGACTTGCTTCAAAGGTAAAAGTGCGATTTCCACAGTATCTTGCACATGATAAAGTGAAATGGCTTTTGTAAGGCAACAAGCCTTTTCTGAGGGACAGTCTCTTTGTTGTTGACTATGTTTCTCACTTGGTAATATACTAAATATTCAAAATTTTGCATCTCTCCCATAAATGATTCTTATTTTTAGTTATAGGAGGATAATTTCTGAAAACTTTTGCTGATTGAATGATGTAATTAAGTGTCCAGCAAAGTCTCAAAATAACTCCACAGGTTGGGATCTAATCTTACAAATTTTCATGCGAAGACCTTTCATTCATGTTGTTAGTCCCATCCAAAGCAGCATCCCAAGATGTTTGATTTTTATCTTCTAGCATTTTAAAATTGCTTTCTGAAAGTGATTGGTTTGCAGCACCAATTCCTCGGTCATCATTTATTACAAAGAATTTTTTCTTCATATTCCTGTATGGCTCTTGCTGATGTAATTCATTTGCTACCAGCATTACCATTGTTACTTTCCATTTTACTCTCTTTTCAGATGTAGCCCCAGGGATGAAAGTTAATTTAGCAAGAATATCTATTATATTTGCCAGTGTTTTTTTATTTGCAGTGGCTTCTTTGCTGGGTGTGCCTGTCTCTGGAGCTGTGACATCTGGAAGGTTTAGTGCAAGGACTCAGGCAGGCTCCAGTCTGGAAACTGGATCCAAATTGGTACTTTTGGTTAACAGTCAAATGGGGCTGGAGATGGGGACCCAGGTGCATTCCTCCAAAGACAGCGATACCTTATAATGAGCAGCTCTTGTACGTTCCTGTCAAAATTTCTGAATTAATTCATAGTGATTGCAAGAACATCATGCTGAGACACATTAAACCCTTTTTTTTTTTTCTTTTCCATAGCCATCAGCTTGCCATGGATGAAGAAAATAATATTGAAAAGTATCATATCAACTTACAGCCCTTGGAATCAAAAGTGAAAATGTAAGTAACAAAGAATGTCTTTTCTGCCTTTAAATGTGGCTGAGTTTGTCCAATTCCTGAACTGCAGAACCCAGACTGTATCCATTGTGGATTTCTGTGTAACTAAGTATAAAAAAGCCTCAATTTTGCAAGGTAGCTAAACTCTTCTCTACCTTTATGCACGTGAACATTCTCTCTGAACTGAGTTTCAAATGTTAAACTCCAATGTTGTACTAATTTTGTCCTTTCCTCTGTGAAACTACAGAATATTTGAAAATCTGCTAGATTTTTCATATATACAGAGAACATCCTGGTGGGGGGATGTATAGTACAGAGCAAGCAGAAGTCTCTTCAGTGGTATTTTTCACTTCTAACATGAAGCCTGGTTAAAGCTTCTCAGGCGGCTCACAGGACTCCTCTGCAAGGAGCAGTCCTTGGGTTTGCATGGGGATGGAGATGTAAGTCTGAGGGGACCAGGGTTGCTGGGCTGTGGGGGATGCAGCACAGCTATATGGCTCTGAGAAAGCTGTTTTTTATTAGAAAGCGAGGCAGTTGCTAGCACTCAGCTGAGGCACATAGATGACACCTAGCTGCACCACCTGGAAGGAAGAGATAAGCATCACTGTGTTCTGATAATGAACTCCCCAACTTCCAAATGCAGTAATTTTAGCCTTTGTAACACATTTCTCACATGTTGTATAGTTCACCATGGGGTCAGTTATTTTAAAAGGCTTGACTGTGCTGTAATACATGTGGTAATAGCAGGGATATAACTTAAAACTTACCCACATGTCTATCAGAGCAGAGGACTCCTCTTTGTGCCTGTTCCAGAGTTGTCCTCCAGCCCTGGTGCAGGCATTAGCTCCATCCAGCTGGCACCAACTCTGCACTAACATGGTGCCACTGGACTTCCCAGCAGACAGCAAAAGTTTAACATGGCTCCACTTGCATTAAAAAATATGAACATCTTCATGCTGAAGCCCCCAACTACTTCATGGCAAAATTTTGCAACATCAGTCATGGCTTTATATAGAGCTGTATGTGTTGCTACATTACATACTGAATTTCACTTTCAATTGAAAAGCTATAGCTAACTCATTATACAGGACGTTAAAATATTAATGCCATATTAAAATATTAAAAGGACATGAAGTTTCAAATTAAAATCCAGCCAGCATCTTTTAGTCACACAAATATAAGCCAGATGAAAGAATAAATTTTCAGAGAGCTTTCTAGAAGGGTAGTTATGACTTCATCTTGGTATATTCTCAAGCTTTAAAATAGCAAGTACATGTAAATATAAATATGTAAATACTACTTGTATATATTATGCAGTAAAGCTTGAAACTGAAACAATGCAAAGTGTAAATGCTTGAGGTGTGAAGGTGTGCTAATTTTTTAAAGCAAAATGCATTTACTGAAAGCTGCTCTGTTGGCACTTGCATTTGCGAGCTTTGCTGTCCATTTTAAAGCTCCTGTATGAAAACAACGCAGGACTTAACCTACCTGACTAGCTCTAAAGTGCATTTATTCTGGTGAGGCTGTAACAAATGCTGTTTTGTTTCTGATCTGGTATTCTTCTAAAAAAAGACAAAACACGTATATTTGATTTCCTCAACCTTGAGATGTTCAAAATGCCATGTGTGTTGGGAACGTTGTTCCCTGACCAGGAAAAATTACATGCCAAGAGGCACTTGCCACTGTCTGGAGTTCCCAGCACTGCAGGCAGTCAATGAGAAGTTGTAGGTGTCCTGGTGTTGAGCTTCGTCCTCCTCCTCTGGAGTCAGGAAGTTGGATGTGCCAGTCTGTAATCAAATGCCTTTTCAGCAGTGTCTGGGCGCTAAATATTTTTCTGGCTTGTGCAGGTGGGAGCAGAAATGATGTATTAACTATTAAAAAGACAACATAAAAAAAAGTATTCCTGGAACAAAGTAAATCCACATCAAAGTCTTTGGACCCTTTGGTTCGAACAACAAAGGACATGGTAAGGTCCCTTCAGGAAGGAGCTTTGCCCTCTGCACTGCGCCGGGGTGCAGGCACTGCAAGTAGGAGCAGGGCCAGGCGGAGTTTGGGCGTGGGACCCCTCCTGGGGAGCACCCCAGCAGCAAGGCTGGGTGCTGAGCGTGCCAAGCCCTTTGGGAGCAGGCAGGGTGGAGGAGTACTTGCTCCCACCCGCTCCCCACACAGCCGCCTTCGGAGAGCAGCACAAGAGCTTTACACCACTGAGGACAACTTAAGCAAAGGTCCAGGGTATTCTACCTGATTAACAGACATACTGAAGGTTTTACTGACTTGATATCCCCATGAATAAACTCTCAATTGCTTGAAAATCCTAAAAGGAGCATTTTCTAGCTCATTGCACTGCAGCAACACTGCTGAGTCTCAGGTCAGAATTTAGCTCCGCTTTTCTGCAGAGTTCACAGATCCTCCTGTCTGCAAACACCCACATACTTTGTGTTAATGCCATTACTATTGTAAACAGCGGTTTAATTCCCAGCATCTCTCACTGGTCTCTCTGACACCTTCAGAAAGGCGCAGGCGGCCCGGCACTGCCACCTGGTGAGAGCCACCCCGGCCTCCAACTCCCCGGCCACTGGCTGGCACAGAAAACGGAACTTCTTCACAGAATTTCACATCAGATTTTAGAAACTTGGTCAAAGTTTAGAATTTGGAAGCAGAGCTCCTACCGCAATCCCTGCACGTTGCTTTGGAGGAGGTTTTAAGTACCCAGCTACCCAGGACAGAGGAGATTTTAAAGGATACTGGTCTGGCTTTGAACTTCCAACCATATCTACATTATAATCTGAAAGCTGATATAAATACAAGATTTTGAAGGATATTCATTCTTTTAAACAGATAATTGCATTTTTTTCTTTGTTTTCAAGATGTAAGAGAATGGCTGAGTTATGTACAGTCTCATATTTAAATCACTAAGTTTAAGGATCTGAAATAAACAATTGCTTCTACTTAACAGATATCTCAAGTTATACTAATAGTGGCTAACGTACAATGTGCAGAGGGTAGTTATCATTTGGATCATTATCCAAATCGGAAAACAAAGTGCACAGAAAAAGAGAAAACCACCAAAACCCACCTTTTCAGTCAAGAATATATGTTTTAAATCCTTTTTGTTGCTGCATTCCTCCCCCAACCCTGTGCCTTGGTGTTTGCCTTAGTATCCAGCGAGCATGGCGTGAGTATCTGCAGCGCCAGGACCTGCCACACCACGAGCAGCTGGGCAAGCGCAGTCCCTCCCCGCCGTCCCTCTCCTCGGACAAGATGAGCAGGTCCATCAGCATGAACACCTTTTCTGACAGCAGCACACCGGTGAGTACAGCATTGGGGCCCATTTTCTTATTTGTTGCTTTTTGTTGGGTTCCTTTCTAGGACCTCAGATAAATGAAAGCTAAATTATGGGCTAATCATGAAAGAGGGACTTTTAGGGGAGTAGTAGTGTCTCAAATGAACCTGCAAGCAGATGTGCCTCTTGTAGGTACAGTTGAATGTGTGACTGTGCATATTACATGTGGATCTCAGCAATATTGTGTATTGGACACAGCAGATATTAACAGTGCTCTTGATGGGAAAACGTGTTTCCAAATGGTGTTGTGTTCTTCTGCAGAAAGCGGGGATCTTCACATGGAACACTTTGTGTTCTCCAAAAACCCAAATTGTGGTGCTTTTCCTACAAATAAATGTGGTTTGTAGTTGGTGTTTTGGTTTTTTTTTTTTTCCCTAAAAGAGACTTAGAGAAGTTGATCTAAGGATTAAAAATTAAACTTGATTTTGGAAGAAATGTTCACACCACCTTGCAGGCTGGGTGACTAGCAGCAGGAAGCTGTACTTCTCTTTTTAAGGTGACTCTAAACTAGAACCCCAAATATAGAGCCCATTTTTTTAAAACAAGTAGCTTTGTGACTGTCTCTGGAGTGGGATCTTTTATGTCAATAAATCAGCAGATAGATACAGTGCCTACAAATATTGCTTTCAGCTTTGTGACAGAATAGATCAGTTTTGAGGAAACTGTCAACTAGAGCTCATGAAATAATTCAATAGTTTAAAAAAAAAAAACAGGAGAGAGAAATTGCCATGGTGTATGTCAGACCAGCTAAATAAAAGCAGGATGTGTCCCACTCTTCAACTGAGGTGTGCAGGATAGGTGTGAACAGGCTGTTTGGATCCTTGCTAGGAGTGCATATTGGTCAGTTATACGAAGCTCTGTTGCCAGTAACGGGACAGCATTTGGTGGCTTCCAATTTCACTACAAAAATCTAGAATTCATTGCTAGTGGGGTTCTTAAAGTAGATGGAGCCCCTGTGCAGGGAAGAGACGTTTGTTAGTTTAACTCTGCCTTCAGTTGCAAAGTTGGAGCAATGCTACCTAATGTAAAGCACAAGGCAGGCTCACAGATCCAACAGAGCTTTTCTGTGCTAAGAACTCTGGTCTTGGACTTACGGGGGCAATTTGATTCTTTCTTCCATTGAACCAGGTTCAAACTGAAGCTAGGTGAGCTGTTTACAGCAGCTATTATTTTTGCGACACCGTGGTTAGGCAGGCTGCATTAGATTTGACAGCGTTTAATAAAATATTACTGAGAGTGCACTTTTTATTTTTAGATGCCTTGTGTTTATAGCTGGAGACCAGGAAGATAAACTACGTTGCAATATTGGGTTATACACTAATGCCTCATGTATTAAACTAGCTAGGTTCCTCTAATGGGAGATATAAATTTGGATCTCGTTTTCATCTGCCGCTGGCATTTGTTGGAGCCTGGCTGCCACGCAGGAGCGCTGAGCCAGCCGCTCGGCCACCACAAGAGGTCCCTCGTACCCTGCGCAGGGAGGCTCCTGGATGCTCTCAGGTTCTCCATCAGTACCCTCATTTGGAAAGCGATGCATTTTCAGTGTTTTCGGGTCTTTCGGGGTAAAATGAGTATGTCTGGGAATTATATATTTGTGGGAAATGAAGCTCGGACACTAGAATTGCTACTTAGTTTGTATTAATGCAACACCCACTCATCTCACTGCTGCATCCTACTTGTTTAATGCAAAGGAAGATGGGAATATTTCCTTAGACTTTTCTAGTGCCAAATCTGTTAATAACCTTTGAAAAACCAGGGTACATTTCTGAAGGCAAAGGAACCCCTATCTATTTAGTGTGTCCTTGATTATTGCAATACCTGGGGCTGTGAGGGACCCACACTTTTATGTGCAGGATGGTCCTTAATTCTGGGATGAGGCACTGTGACTCCAGGCAAATGCTGTTGTACTTTTCAAGGTCCTCACAAACCATTTAAAACCAAACCTACTGATTTAAGATGGTTTTCTGTCTTCGTCAGAGAGTGCTGTGGGCATCTTGAAAGTAGGGAGCAGATGAAGGAGGTGAGGAGAAGCCTTTAGTGTGGGAGCTCAGCAGATGCCCTAAAGAGGGAGGTGGTTGAAGGTGTGAGATCTGGCAGGGAGGTCTTATATGGGTACGGTCTGAGAACAACTACTGCCACAAAGCAAAAAGGCAGCAACACTGTCTAGGGTAGTTTTGTTTCCTGATTGCTTCTGATGAATTAAAGCAGTGCTGGCCCTGTGTGGATCATGGTCTCGGCTTCTGGGTGCATAGGTGTGCACACAGAAATGCCACCAGTGCGTGTGCCTCTCAGAGCTGGGCTGGGTCATCCTTGCTAGTCCTTGGACACATATGCTAAGGATAGACTCTGATCTAATGCAGTAGTGAGTATGTTTCTGTCTGATACACATGTGCTTTCCTGATGGCAAATGTCACATATTTTTGGTTTGGAATTGATACTGTCAGGTTCGGGGCAGGGCAGGGACAAGGTCAGATCAAAACAGGGACGATTAACCTTGAACTGTTGACATGTGAATGGGAGAGTAATTGATTGTCTTAACCAAATAAAGACTTGGGCAGAATGAAATGTACCATTTCGGCTGTAAGCCACGTTTTCTGCTCTAGCATAAGGTAAACTTAAAACAGGAGAAAAAACACCTGAGAGCAGAGAAACCGCTGCTGGACCCATCTGTAATTTTACGCTCTCTTGAAGTTTTGTGTTTATAAGACCTAAGCTGGAAGCAGGAGAGTGGAGTTGGGGAATAAACAAGCAGTCAAACACATCCATTTGCCAAGTCCTCAATTTGGCCGACATTCCAGAACAGGACCTTTGAAAAATGGGGCACATTCATTACAATGCCATTTCTTTTGCAGTAACAGCATTGCTGGTGCCCTAAGAAATAAGCTTGTGCCTAGTCTTTGTGTAAAAGTATGCTGTGCTGAACAGTATGGAGTCTCCCAAATTTCTCTTGCTGTCTGGCAATCTTCCTCTGAAAAATTTGGAGGAGGGAGAAAGTCAGACTGAAATTTGGACTCTTTGGGTGTTTTCCCATTTCTTTTTTCAAAGAAGTAGAAAGCAACTAGCATGTCAAAATATGTTAGCAATAAGCATTGATGCAGATGGGAGAGAGAAATTTATGAAGTATTTTGAGAAACCACTGTCACAACACAGCCACTTAATTCAGCTGAAGTCTAATCCTGGTTTTCAATTTCCTTTCTCAGCACAAGCCTCCCGGTGTTCAGCTTGGCTGGATCCTCAGCTGGATCTTACACACTCCTGGGGGCAAAAAACTAGTTGGCTACTTGAATAATGAAAGACAGAAAGGATCTCATGCCCAAAAAATAAATGAGAGCCTGTGGGTTGACAAATGCATGCCACTGCAGCAGGATGGGTATTGAAACCCTGTACACTGAATATCTATTTATGCCAGTACACGGGACCAGCAGTTGTGGTGAGGTAGAATTCTGAAACTCTTAATTGGATGAATAATACCTAAAACCAAGGTTTATTCAGACTGTTGGGGACAACAGAGAGTGTCAACGTGTGCAGTCTGCAGCTGGAGAGTTAAGAATGATTTTTGGTCATTTGTAGTTGAAAAAGAAGATCTTTGAGTTCATTTCCACTATTACTACAAACCTCCAGAGGCACTTGTAAGGGAAAATGGGGAATTACTAGGTCTGAGAGAAGTCACAGTTTCAAAAGCATTTTTTCTCTCTTGCCCTTGAAACCTCTCCATTCTTAAAAAACAAGACAGAACTTGCAAACAGGAAGTAGAAAAAGTAATTAAACCCATAGGAAACTGAAATCCAATGAAAAACCTGTACACCCAAAGTAAAAAAAAAATGCCCAAAACCCAAGGTGTGGGTTGGGGGTGCATGTGTTGTCAGCACATGCACAGCTTGTGTGCAGAGTGGGAGGGCAGGGCACCAGCACATGCACAGCTTGTGTGCAGAGTGGGAGGGCAGGGCACCAGCACGAGCACTAACCCTGGGAGAAGTTAGGCAATGATGGCCTGAGGCTTGCAAGATGTAGTGCAGGGGAGCTGTGCATTCCTGATATGCAGACACTTATTCATTTGTAATTATTAAAACTTTGTGAATTTATCAAATATGACATTTTCTTGTTGTCCCAGCCAAGAAGATAAATACAGAAACACAAAGCAACAACCTGTGACTAACTTTAGAGAAATGAGGAGAAGGGGAGGTACCAGGAACAGTTCTTACTCTGCTCGGCAGCAGCAGGGATGCTTTCTGGTCAACTGCACCACAACTTTCATGGTTAGCAGCTGTCATATGACTTTTTTAAAGCCATTTTGTTCCCATGAGATGGGGATAGCTAGGCAAATGGGCTTTGCCTCTGGCCAATGTGAGATGCTGGACATGTAATCAATCAGTTCATCACTGGTTCATTGATAGAGGGTGATGTGAGCTCTCCTTGACTTGCTGAAGATCATGTATGTCTTTTAAGTATTTGGCTTCAAAAAGCTGTAGCTTAGCACTGCTGGCTGTGGTTACCATATTTCAGTTCAGAGAGACAACCTAATTGTGTGATTCTAAGACTCAGAAGCTTGATAAATCATTAATTATGATACCTTTGAATCCAGTGTTTGAACTTGTTTTGGATCAGCTCGCTGCCTTCATGACTGCAGAAAACTGTTGCTCTTAAAATGAAATACTGATGAGAAACTTGTGAAATAGAAAAGGAACTACTAGGTTAAGGAGAAAAAAACCCCACAATTGAAATATTTCCTTATTTTTGCTGCTACCTCCAGTTCTTGATAATTCCCAGCAGCTCTCCTGTGTGAAATTTTATCTTAATTTTATGGCAGAGGAACAGTGTCTTCTGGACTGTGGGACACTGAATCCTTGCAGATACTAAAGGGAAAAGATTCTTCTTTCAGGCTTTGTTTATATGCCTCTTGCCCTTGAAGCCTGAGCATCTCATCTCAATAGCATTTCATTACAGTTGTGCATGTGCTTTCGTTAGCTGGCTCAAAGGTACCAGATGGTAAACAAGGTCACAATTAATTTTTTTTTTGACTGGCACCACCTTTGTCTTC